GAGATCAGCTCCGCCTCCTTGCTTTTGAAGACACTTTTCAAAGTGCCTTCTTAAGTGTGTAGTGCCGTGAATAGTGTTACCTTGTAATTTCTCACCACAATATTTACATTGAGTTACGTATTTAATGTTATCGTTATTGTCGACGTCCTCGAATGTGTTGAAGTGGTCCCAAACTGCTGAGGTGCGCTTGCATTTCTTCTTAGAACTTGCAACACTTGCACTAGCACTACCGCTTGCCTCTCCTCCACGGCCACTTGTGCCACCACCATTGCGTCCCCGACCTCTAGTACGTCCACCAGGGGTCGGATTTGCAGTTTCATCAGCAACTCTTTTCATAGTTTGCGATTCCTGCGTTTGAAAAACATTAGGAAATTACCCTTCTTCGATGTTGAATTGGGCATCAATGGGAATATCACCACTATAACCAGAAGAAGCCATTATGAAAAATAAGAGAGATTGGGAGCGCTTTGAGAGAGCTTAAGAGAGATCGAGATTCGAGAGAGATTTAAGCGAGATTAAGAGAGATTTGAGAGAGATTAAGAGAAATTGAGAGAGATTAAGAAAAATTGAGAAAGAATGAGAGTTTTGGGGTGAGAAAAATGGTTGGGGGGTATTTATAGGAAAATTTTTGGGTTGAAAAAAAAAATTTTTCCCCCAAAAATTCGGGTCCAACGGCTATAAATTTTTCGGGCAGTTCGAGCAAAAATCGGGCAGGTTGGGCAACGGTACAAAATCCGACCGTTTGGTTTAAAAAATCGGGCAAAATTCAGGTTCGGATCGGGTTCGAGCAAAAAGACCCGTTTGTTCAAAATTCAGGCATTTTTTCGAGCTAACGGTAAAAAAAATCGGGCATTTTTTGGGCAACGGGCAAAAATCGGGCAACGGTCACAAAAATTCGGGCAACGGTCACAGAAATTCGGGCAGTTCGGGCACAAATTCGCGCAGTTTTCGGGCAGCTTTGGGTATTGCCGGAAAATTCAAAAAAAATCCGGCGAACGGCGGGGGACGGCTTCTCCACGGCGGCCGGCTGTCGGGGGGATTAATATTTTCGGGCTACCCGAGCCCGTGCCCGAAGAAAATCGTGGTGGACGGGCGGCGAGAGTGGCCTGCCCGAAGTGCCCGAAAATTTTTGGGCATCGGGCATGCCCGCCGCCTGAAAGTTCAGCACTGCATTATACTTAAACAATAGTAAATGAAGGGTCTCTAACCATGAATATTACATTAGTTGTGCATGAGAATGTTGTTAATTAAAAAAAAAAACATATTTTTTTAAATGAATTATAATTAGTATAAAATATTTTAAAAATATTTAGCCCATAACATTAGCACTAATATTTAAAAAAATATAAAATACAACACAACAAGTAGTCCATAAAATTATCAAATAATAGAGGTCTCAAAATGTTAACTAAAATCCTCTATACTCAAAAGTTCTTACAAAAGTTCTAAATATGAGAACATATACTCGAACAAGGTTCCAAACCTGAAATTAAAAGTTATAAATCTAGGACCACATATAAAAGTTCTAAAGATGCCATCAAAAGATCTAAATATTGGACCATATACTCAAGTTTGTAAATATAGCACAAAAAGCTTCAACCTAACTCATTCCAAAAGAGATAAAAGAAAATCTAACTTAAATTCATCATCCAACGTGAAGAAATAGTTGGTGTAGTCATGGTTTTGGACAAGAAGTTTTCCGACTCGTACTCGTTGTGCATTTGTTAGTCCTTCTACCTTCTTCACTTCATCAAACACCTGCATCCTCCTTGCAGCACTATCAGCCTCGTATTGAAAACAATTAGCAAGCCTGCCAATATTCTCACCAGCCATAGCATACATATCAGAAAATTTTTGTATTGTCTCAGTTAAAGTATCAACCAATACATCTCCACATTGAGATCTTTTTCTCTTTTTCCTTCCTGATGTTAATGGTGTTGAAGTTGTTTGTTTGCTAGGACCACCAATACTTGAAGAAGAAGAAGAAGACGAAGAATATAATCCACCAAAGAATTCATAGCTAAATCGTTTTCTAGGTTTATGTAATATATATATATATATATATATATATATTCATAGCTAAATCGTTTTATGGGTTTATGTAATATATATATTATATATATGTAATATATGTATATGTGTGATTCCCAAAAAAGATCCCCAGAAATGTAATATATGTTTGCTGAGTTCAACCCCAGAAGCGCGGACGACATCTTCTCTGAGTTTTTTGAGTTTTTGAGCCCCTTCGAAGGAGGAGGCACGAGGGGTTCTTCAAGATTCTTAAGTGGGATTTTCGGAGACGACATTTTCGACATTTTCGGGTTTTCTCAAGTTCAGATAAAAAAAATTGACACAAATCGTGAAAGAAAAATTTTTCATAAAAAAAGGAGAAAAAAAGAATCATACTCTAGTGGTGGTGGCAGAGGAAAGTCCGGCAACGGCGTGGTGGATCGGAAGGCGGCGGCGGCGGCCTCGACGGGAGAGCGGGGGTGGGGTAAGAGCGGTGCTGGGTTTGGACGAGAGAGAGATGGGTGAAATGTGTCTGGTAAGAGATGGGTGAGAGAAATGTTAAGGCAGATGTATAATTTTTTCACATAAATATTACTTTCCTGGGAAAGTAAATAACACCCTATTGGGTGGGTTTAGGATTACTCCAAAATGTGGTAATGTGAAACCCATGGATTTCACTTTCGTGGGTTTAAAAAAAATCTAATAATTGTACTAAACATGAGAATCTAAAAGATTCATATTCCCACTCTTGAGATTATCCCATACCAAACGCCCCTTTAGAGTAGTTATTATTTTTTTAAGAGAAATGAGACAAATACTTTTAAAGTGCATGAGTTTAAATTTTTATATTTTAGTTTTGATTTATATTATTTTTAATTAAATAATTATATTAGTCAAAACAGTATTAATTAAGAGTAAGAGTGAAAATTCAGACTCATTGTAATCTAAAGACATTAATTTTTTTTTAAGAGGTGGTATGGTCAGTCACAAGTCAACCAAACACAAATATGTATAGTGGAAATATCAAGATCAATATAACAAAATATTCACTATAAAAAAATAAAACAATAAACCCGTTGGTTTTCTTTTGAAAAATAACTCGCTGGATTAATTGAAGAACATAAAATTTGTTTACGTATTTTCTCTGATTGGTGTGCACATAATTCCGCATGAGAGAAAATCGAACCCCATAACACATAATTTTTTTGTTCTTTCAAAATACCTTCAAGCCTTGTATGTTCTTCTCATTGTTATAGTAACAAAATTGCTATTGATGTTCGCCTTTTAATTTATCTAAAAACTTTTAGATTTAACATTTTTAAGTTACATTGTGACAAAAACACACACAAAATTAAATAAAACAAAATATGAAAATCACAATCATAACAACATTTATGTGGAAATCTCATTACAACGACATATCGAGATCGAATTGTACATATCAATCCCACTTATATTATGTATTCTTATTAATAAGAGGTCACATGTTATAATGTATGTTATTTTTGTTAAGTTGTCTTTCTTTCTTAATCGATATCAAATATTTAAAAAATCATCATGTTAGTTAACAGTAAAAGTTATATCTACTCTAAAAAAGTAAGAAATATTTTCAGTCCGATTGCCGTATCAGCCTAATAAATGCAATAATTTTTATTCAGCTACGTATTATTATTTGTGTGTTCATGTAACACTTGTATTGTTAAGTGTAACACCTAATAAAATGTAATATACCACCATGTTATATGTAGCTTGCTTCCGTGTTATCATGTTACACTACAAAATTACAAATTTGTATGAAAAATATTACACCTATCGTACAGTACAACCGTCGAACTTAAGACCCTACCTAAAAGATAACAACTTATTTGTTGAGAAAATATAAGATAATAACTATTTTTCATTCTAAAGAAAAAATAACAACAAACTTACTATATATTTCATAGTATTAAAAAGTTGATAAAATAATTGGTACACGTAACCTAAACATTACTCAAGTCAAAACATGTATTTATTTTAACAATTCACCACTAAAATAACTAGATGTGACAGAAAATTAAGGGTGAATTAGAGGAATAACAATTATCTAGTTATGACAGAAAATTATGGGTGAATTAGAGGAATAACAATCATGTGAAAAGATTCGAATGTATGAATTATGATTCAATTTCACCCATTTATATTAGAGTTTAAAAATGGACAGTATACCTAATTTACACCACAAAATTAGGAGTTAATTAGAGCCCAGGAGAAGGCCAACTTCAAGATGGGGCTAGGCTAACCCAAAGATTCACAAAGGGGAACGATCCAACGGTCTAGCAACAACCACGTGGCAAAACAATTGGAAGAAGCCAAAAAATTTGGATTTGCCGCGCTGGGGGTCAAACTTGAAACTCAAAACTCAAACCGGGAGAGAGAATCCAACCGATAGCTTCGGAATTCGTCACAAATTACTTAACACGAGGCTCGGACGACTCCGAACCTAAATTCCGAACCAAAAACCAAATATTATTACAACACTGTCGCTCAAACCCAGCCACTATCACACAATAAGGACAAAATATTTATTCATTTCAAATAAAATAAAAAGTTCCGAGATTTACGTGTTTTGTTCGGGTTGATCTATCTGGCTTCCACTCTCAGCCCTCCGATGGCATCCGTCGTTGAATCCTCACCGTCCGTGTGGTGGTAGATTAGCATCTCTTCTTTGTGCTGTTTGAGTTTCAATGGGAAAACAAAAAAGAGAGTTCTAATTTTAATTCTGAGTGGTTTTTTGTCGCACGTTGGAAAACAGAGGAGCTTGCCAAGTGGGTTTTTTGCTCTCAAGCTTTGAACTCAAACTGGGTTTTCTCCAGAATCTGGTATTGTGGTCTACTTCTTTTTATGCTGATGTTTAAGGACGAGAACGGCAATATCTTTTTTTTTTTTTTTTTGGAAAAATCATTGTTTGTTTTGCTCAAATCAATATAATTTTTTGGATTTATGAGATCTATTTGTTTAGACCCATTTGAACGATCTGCATGTAAAGATTGTCCTTTTTTGTTGTTATTACTGAATTACTTTTGTTATGGGGGGATTTTAATATGTCGGTCAATTTTCATGAGAGAGAGAACAAAGTGGTAGATTTTGTTTTACCAACTTAAAAGATTGGGATTTTTAGCTCATGCAAGAACCATTTGGTGGTTCCTTTATTTTTTTTATTTTGGAATTAATTATATGTTAGTTGAGTGTGACAGACCAGAGCAGACCCCCTTTGCCTTGCTTTCTCTCTCTAGTATTATCTTCCTCTCTCTAGTATTATCTTCCTCTCTCTTTCTCTCTCTTCATTATAGATTGGGTTGAAGTGGAGAGGTCGGCTATTATGTAGCTACAAAAAAAAAAAAAAAAAATCAACTGAATTTTTCTTGGACTAGATTTTCCCGAGAAAATTGTTTTCCTTTTCATTGAGGGAATTTATATTTGGAGTTACAAACTGTCAACCCTTTACATTATTTTAGAAGTTACCGTTTTCTTTATTGTAAATTTTCTTAGAGGTAGACCATTCATATTTAATGCACATCTACCATTCTGTCTCACATGCAAGATATGAAGATCATAGCTTTTTCTGCAAAGGACCTTAGACCACCATTTCTTGGCCTTTAGAGCTTTGATTCAGTACAAAAAGATACCGGAGCGTCAACAATAAAATTCAGCTCCACCGTTGGATCAATCACTTTAGTTTCTGATGTCAAACTTTGAGAGATCATCAGCATCATCATCATCAACATCAGTGTGTGAGATAGATCCCTTGCTGAAGGATTTGAATGAGAAGAAGCAGAGTTTTCGGCGAAACGTGGTGTCGTTAGCGGCCGAGCTGAAGGAGGTTCGGAGCCGCTTGGCATCTCAGGAGCAGTCTTTTGCTAAAGAAACCCTAACAAGACAGGTTTTTCAATTTATTTGTGTTTTGTGTATATAAGTTTTGGACTTTGATTTGATGAGGTCAATTATTTGTTTTCTATCATTTTGGGATTTTCCCTTTATGGGGTCTTGAAAAGCTGTTCATTGGAACTCACTTTTTTATTTATTTTTTATTTATTTTTATAAATTAAATCTTAACAGGAGGCAGAAACAAAGGCTAAAACAATGGAAGATGAGATGGGAAGATTGCAGAAAAGATTGGAAGAGAGAAATGAGCAGCTTCAGGCCTCAACATCTACAACTGCGAAGGTCCCTCATGATATATATATATATATATATTTGCTTTAAATTTTGAGATTTTTATGCTTAAGTATTTAATTATATGTGTTTGCTTTTTGGGTTGTGTAGTGAGTGTTAGATCCTTTTGAACTTAACTCATGATTCAATAATTATGGTTGATTTCTTTTTTTGTTTTTTTTTTGTTTTTCCCACCTTGCTGTTTTGAAGTTGTCAAATAGGCCTCATATCTCATGCACATCCTTGAGGATGCTTGCTTTTTGGCTTTTCCTCCTTTCTTTTGTGTGGAACCCATCGGGGAAAAGATGACCAAGAAATTACGACAATATACTATTGTTTTCTTTTATTCTTTTTTTTTTTCCTCATCTTTTTATAGCTGGAACAATTGAAGTAATTTTTTTGTCTTTTGTGCATGTTATAATTGATAGCCGTATATTCTTGCATTTTAAGTTTTGCATATAAGACGTAATTGGTTACTTATTTGTTACTTTCAATTCCAATTTCTGTAAGTTTGTTTCTGTTGTGAATTTTGATTATTGCACTTGCAATCTTTTCTTGGGAAACGGGTATTACAGTCAGATTTCTAGGTGAACGATAGCAATAGTAATAACCAAGTGGTTATTATTAAATGGGTTTTAAGTTGTTAATTTTACAAAGTTTTGATGGCTGTCACGTTATTTGATTTCCCATCATTATGTGAATCTTTTCCTTAGCAGGAAACATCACTTTTTCCCCCCTTTATATGAGTGGAAAGCATTGTCATCAAATAATTTCTATTTCAGTGTATAGATTCGGCACCTGGGGCAATGAAATTATTTTCTTAAAGTAGAAGTTTCATTTCTCTTTGGCTTTCAAAGTTTAGTGATAGAATAATTATACATAAAGGACTCCAAAAAAGAAAAAAAAAAAAGAACAAATAGGTACATTCGAGAAGTGATGGATAAGCATCTTGATATTTGTGGAAGCTGATTGAGTGAATAACCAAGAAAATGTGGAGATTCTTCAATAAAGAAAAAAAAAACAATAACAGTAACAGATTAAATAAGAATGTGGACATTCCAAAGTAAGTTTTTGGCTTTTGAAGTTGGTTTTCCATAACTTAGAGACAAAAGGCAGATCTCTAATTTATTGGAATGCTGCGCAAATAAATTTTCTTAAGTTGGAATCTGGGTCAGAGACTACTTAATTGAATGACATGGGAGAGAGTTTTGTCAATGTGAATGATGCACATATAAATTCATATACTTATGCTTGATCGAATATTATTTATTTGCATAATGTTGGACAAACAATTGGTTACTGCGATTCTATTTGTACTATTTCTGATGAAAAAAATAATCAACTTCATATTAGTTAGTTTTTTTTTTTTTTGCTTCAAATTTTTCCAAACAAGGCTGTTTTATTGAATCAAAACGTTGTCTAACTTTTGAATTTTCTTGTTGCTAACTATTAATGGTATTTTATGCTGCAAGCAAATGCGTAGTTTGATGTTGCCCATGTTGTTGACTCCGTGATCCAATCCCGTATCTATACGGGAAAATAGGTTGATCTAGTTATAATCATAATCGAGGACTTTATATGCATAATTCTGCTGTACGTTTTGATCATGTTAGGACAAATTTTTTGGCATAAGCTTATGTTAGGATAATATTAGGGCAGTTCATTGTATATGGCTATATGCTAGTTCTAACTGTGCTTTCTGTTAGTTTGTGATGTTCATAAAACTGATTGTAGCTTTATACATGACCCAGTCTCTGAAGGAGTTGGACGCTGTCAGATTGCAGCTTGCATCCACTCAAGCAACTGCAGATGCTAGTGCTGCCTCGGCTCAATCAGCACAACTTCAGTGTTTGGCGCTTCTGAAGGAGTTAGATGAGAAGAACTTCTCATTAAAAGAGCACGAGGAACGTGTAACCAGGCTAGGAGAGCAGCTAGATAATCTGCAAAAGGACCTTCAGGCCCGGGAATCTTCCCAAAAGCAGCTGAAAGACGAAGTTATGAGAATCGAACACGACATAATGCAGGCTATTTCCAAAACCGCGGCAAACAAGGATTGTGAACTGAGGAAGATACTAGATGAGGTCTCTCCGAAGAACATCGAGAAGATGAACAGGCTTTTAGTTGTTAAGGACGAAGAAATAGGGAAATTGCGAGATGAAATCAGGGTTATGTCTGCTCACTGGAAGATGAAAACCAAAGAATTGGAATCTCAGGTACATTCATCTCATCTTGTCTTCTGCTTTTGCAGTTTAAACTTAAGGTTCTCTTATCAACCATTTAGTAACTGTCACCAATGTCTTCCCACGAGTAGTTAGAGAAGCAGCGGCGAGCAGATCAGGAACTGAAAAAGAGGGTGTTGAAGTTGGAATTCTGTCTTCAGGAAGCTCGATCGCAAACTCGTAAACTCCAAAGGGTAAAAATAAATTTCTCTCCTTTTTCGGCACAGTCTTCCCCCTTTTGCATGCAAGCTTTTTGAACTTGCGATTTGAAATTCTTTCGAGAGAATTTCGGGTTGACTTTGTTCTTTAACATCCTTATTTCGTAGTTTTTATTCTGTTTGCGTCATTGTAACAGATGGGAGAACGAAGGGACAAAGCTTTGAAAGAACTGAGAGAACAGTTGGCAGCAAAACAACAAGGTGAAACTGTGAGTAGTGTGAAACAGAATTTCTGGGAAACTTCTGGTTTCAAAATCGTGGTTTCCATGTCAATGTTGGTATTGGTGGTGTTCTCCAAGCGATAAATCCCGAACTTAACTAGCGTATTTGTGTATAAAACCGGCTTAAATCTGTAGGTGTTTAGGAGTATAGGAGTAGTTTAAGAAAGGGTTTTTTTTTTTTTTTTTTTTCCCTTGCTTGAAGTTTAAGAAGGTCATTTTGCTTGTAGACAATTCACATTGTAGAGTTTTTAGTTCTTCATATCTTGTGTAGAATTAGACAACAGTATTTATTTTCTTAAATGGTGAAAGCAACACTTCTAGTACATACCGAAAATGCAAAATATATAGATTCTCATAATGGCATTTTGGCTAACATATTTAGGTTTTTACTCTTACTGTATTTGCTTGTCAGTTTATCCCAAATCATTATCAAAGTCATAATGTTTTGGTAGAACTAATTAGTTTTAAATTGAATAATTTTGCTGTGACGAATTGGCATCCAATACATGGTGTGAAGATGCTAAATTAGGTGGCTCCCATAATTGTTAGGAGAAGATTTCTCCACAACCATCGGTTTCTATCAGTAAACTTGCCGACATTGTTTCTTATACGACTCTACTTCCCTTCCCCACATGCAACATAATCTTTTTTTTTTTTTTTTTTTTTTTTGACTAAAGTAATGTTTATTTCTTTGGTTGTTGATTAAAATATTCAAAACCTAACATTTTCTTCAACGACTACATGTCCTACTCATGGACGTGGACGATTAATATCTTCCTAGGTACATTTTTCTTTATTATTATTTTGGTGGACGGCCTGTTGAAGTTCGAGAAACGTTTATTTTCAAATGCCCTTCATGTCCTATTTGGGGAAATCTCACTATTAGTAGGTATTTTTGTTTTAACATTGAATTAATTTCTCAACTTGTCTCACCTATAAATATGAACGATTTTACATAACGCGTTGTTATATTTAATCTAAAATTAGATAGTGGCGATGTTACAAACTCATTAAATAGAACACATCCTTACAAAATTGACTTGCAAGGGGAGATAACTCCATTATAAACTCACTATTTATCTTATAATCATTTCATGTGAGACTTTTTAGCATCTAACACGCGATCAAAAGCCCTATAAGGCCCTTACAATAAGCCTCTATAAAATCCCTCACACGTAGGGGTGTTTATAAAATCCAATCATTTGATCAAACCGACTGATCTAATCCACTAATTAATGAATAATTGACCTTAATTTAATTGGATTGGATGTTAATTTTACTTTCAAAACACCTGATCAAATCCTTATATATTACATAAAAAAAATAAAAATAGATTATGTTTTCTTTCTATTATGGATCATCATAAAAAAGAGTAGTAGGCGTGCACATTTGAATTTTTAGATTGTGTTCTCTTTCTTTGTTGTTTCTTTATAGTTTGGAATAAAACTTCTGTTTCTTTATAGTTGTTTGTCCAATGTTTAATCAACTTTTAAGTTTGTAATTTGGAGTATATGCTTTTTTTTTTGGATTTTTGAATGTTGATTCTTTTTTTTTTTTTTTGAACTATAGTATTTACAGTATGTTAAAAAGATCTAACAAATAGGTTGAATAGGAAAATAAAAATTAACAATTGTACAAAAAGCTCAAGTCTAAAAACGATTGGTCTATTCCAACCCAAACCAACCTCAATCGAATTAGATTGAATTGGATGATACACTAGTAATTGGATTAGATGGAATTTCTGGAAACCAAAATTTGATTAGATTAGTTGTTATATGGCTAAAATAAGTTGAATTGGATTGGATGAACACCCCAGTGTTCTCATGTAGTACACAAGTAGAAATTGTCCAAGGCTCCAAGCAACAAAAACTTTAATAAAAACAAGATTAAACAGAAAACTAATATGATAGTGTGTAAAAGCATACCCAAGTCAACTATAAACCGATTTTAGAAATAGGTTTTACGTTTTTCAACAACATTGAAGTATTACAAACGGTGTTTTAGTGGCAATACGGTGTTTTAGTGGTGTCATAAGCAAATGATATAGGTCGGCAGTGGCCACTGGCCAAGCCTTGTGATTGAGCCGTTGCACAAACACAATGATGAAAAGCAAAGCTTAGCGACTCCATTTCATTGTCATATGATAATGCCTCTACTTTCTCCAACGATATGATTCTCTCTTGCAAATCATATGATTGGTTTACCTCTGGTTTACCTTGCTATCAGACGAGTAAAATTTTAGTCCTCCCTAAATAAAAATATTCTGTTCATAATGCAGATTCACTAAATTTCTAAATCAATTTGAATACTCAAATTAGTATGGAGAATTACAAAGAACTACAATACCCCAAAGTTTCTAAAATATATACAGGATCACTCTTCTCTCTACCAACAATAAACCTCATTTCTTGAACATACTTTTTCCATAGCCGATGAAGATTAACTAGCTTTATATCCCATCAAGCTCAATAGTGGCCAATAACAATTGTTTAGTAGGGCATAGATAGCATTCCTAGCCTTGTGAGACTTGGCTCCTGGACCCTTCTGTACACGGCTTAAATGACTGTTAACATTTGGTCTCAAAAAGAGGAAATGGGATCTGACCGTTGCTTTATATTGAGATCTTATCACCACTCTACATGTGAAGAGTAGTTTTCCTGGTAACTAAGGATATTACCAGAAAAATGAAGCCAATAAAGGGCCTCAAACCAGCTGCTTTGGAAGTGGATGAGTTAGTAAAACCAGGAGGGCTTTCTAACCCGAAATCAGGGGTTGTTCCTGTGCTGGTGTTCAGCACAGTAGGTGTACCGGAGCTGCAAAAAGTAGATAAGAGGAAAAAGGGTTATTTCTCCATCATGCAAAGCAACATTGTAAGGGATGAGCTTGAGATGTCAAGAATATAACTCTACCCTGATACCGCTCCCCATGCTGGTGCCGCCGGGTTTGTTACTGTTGGAGTTGATGGAGTTGGAATGGATGCAGTCGGAGTGGATGGTGTTGGGGTTACAGGTGTAGGTGTTACAGGTGTTGTTGACGACGGGGAAACCGTTGTTGATGATGATGAAGATGTTTGGTAGATGCAGGAACCGGTGCCTGTTTGAGAAATTAGAAGGTGGCATGTAAGATTTTTGTGATTTGATAAGCAAGAAAATCCTGATGATGAATGTTTATGATCTACTATACTCCTCCATATTTGTATACTATTAATTTGATGCATAATCCAATGTTAAAAGCTCTCACTAAGTGTCCCTACCGTTGAAGCACCTAAGATTTTAATTCCATAAACCGTGTCATAGACACTTTCGAAGCTTCAACATCTAACAAAAGAAAGCTTCGGTGGTAGGCCATCCACTAATATTTATTTTTAGACACCACATCATATCATAATCAAACAATATTCAAACACGATTTGTGAGTTATTATCGGATATGCTTTAGTACCCTACCACATATTTTTGAAGACAAAGGAAAATAATCAGTTAAATGTCTGGTCTTACTTGGATTGGCATTAACTAATGTAGCAGTCCCTCCAAAGTCACAGCTCGTTGGCAGAGGATTCTTCTGATAATAGCTATTGAAAGCATAAGAGGCATGATTCTGCAAATTATTGGGATTATAACAGCTCCCACCCTGTTGAATCTGAGAACAATCAGCCCCTCCACCACAAGCATAGTCCAAAGCAGCCTGAATTGCCGTCTCAGGAGCTCCACTCTTGGCAACACACCAGCTTTGGCCCGGAATGTTGTTACTTGCAGGAGGGGCACCAGGGTTTGTTGTGACTGGTGCTGTGGTGGGAACATTCCCTGATGGGGTCGGATTGACTGGATTGGTTACGGGCTGCGCCCCAGGAACCGTGATGGGCGTAGTGACAGGATTGGTGACAGGTGGGGTGGTCAAGGGAAGTGTCACCACCGGTGTGTCAGGGTTGGCAGGGCCTATTGTCACTGGGTTTGGCGAGGGATTAACTGTAACAATTGTTGGTGTTGTTGGGGTGTTGGTGATGGGAGTTATAGGGAAGACTGTTGTGTCATGTTGAGTTGTTTTGGTAAGAAGCTGTCTCTGGGAAGTAGAAGTTGGTACTTCTACATACACGGCAACCATATTTGTTGTGATACGAGTGTTGTTTTGTAAAGCTTTGGAGACCTTGTCACTAAATTCCGATACTTCTTTCGGGCTCGGAATGGACGGGCTTTTGATTGTCAAGACCATGGGAACATCATTACAAGGAATTATAGAAATGGCAAAGTTGGCCTTCTGGATTACAGACTGAACAAACCTATCACCACCCATGTTGACAACTTCCTCAACAATGATATATGATTTCACTTCCTTGATATAGCTAAAAATCCTACACAAGTGTCTTTCATGAATTTCACTCAAATTCTTGAAAAACGACAAAGGGAATGCCACAGAGACCTTAACTTGGTTATCAAGACGAAAACTAGAAAGAAGTGATTGTACAGACTTCAAAGTGGATAAAAGCCTAGCCAGGTCATTATGCCTACTTGGGTTTTTGCCAATACATGCTACAATGCTTTTGATGTTCACATGAGGAAGAAAAGAAATTACATGGGTTTTAAGCCAAGTGACACCAGAAGATTTTGATTTGGTCAGAGTCTGAAGCTGGCTTTGATTAACGTAAAGATCAACAAACACACCAGTATTGAATAAAGAAGTTAGAACCTTGTGATCTGAGACAAAAACCCGAATCTGAGCTGGAGAAACATTGATATCTTTATGAAGTGATATGGTGCTTCCTTTTGCATGATAGGAAAAACCCGCTAGAGTTCCTGAGTAGATTGTGAAATAAACAATACAAAGTCATTATTTTTAACTGCAAAAATTTGAGTTTTATACAACTAGAATGGATGAAATTTATGGTTGTACTAAAAGAAAGCAGAAAAAATACAAATGGGGTAGTCAAAAAAGTGTTTTTTTTTCAGTAGTAGTGAGCAGTTACTTACCAGAAGAGCAGCAAATGAAGAGAGAGAGGAAGAGAGAGAGGAAGAGCCTGTTGGAAGCTCTTGTGGCCATTTTCTGGGATTTTGGAAGAGACCCAGATGAAGATTTAGTGTGATGGATTCATGTAATGTTTGAGCTCTGAATAAAAAGAAAAAATCTCTTGGATGGGTATAAAAGCCGCTGGAGAGAGACGAAAAAGTATTGAAGATAAAAAAGCTAAAGAAGATTTACAAAAATGAAAAAAAAAAAAGAAAAAGAAAAAAAGAAAAGGATATTGCTTTGTCATGAAGGACGGGGCTGTAAGCCTTGTGTCTACAAAACAGTGGAGAGAAGAATAGAAAGAATCAGACCTGCTTTTGGGCTTCTTCCCCTTTCCCAAAGAAAATATAAACACAAGATATAAAGTAGCCATTACAAGTGGCATAACATATTCGATTGGCTAAAAAAATAAAAGTGGCATGACATATTCATATCAGAAAAGTAGCATAACATATGCACATGCATGTAAAAGACTAGTTTATACAAGTATGAATGTATGATGTATTCAATCTTTTCCTTTTTTTTTAATTTTTATAAAATTTATTCTAGGGAATGTTGTTTTGCCCTATTATTAGTGCCAGTATTTTTAATCATTCAATTAAATTTCAACGGTAAATATCGTTAAAATATAATCAAATTATTAAAAGAAACTATTCTATTGGTACGATAAAATAGCGTATTCTACTATAAAAGTGTTTAAAAAAATTGAGATTAATGTTTATATTCAGTCTTCCCTATTGGGAAAAAAAAAAGGAATTAAAGGTTCCAACTTTTGAGTTAGTGGAACAGTTTGACGGGTTTTAAGGATTCATTATATTGATATTAACATCTGCTACTTGATGTTATAATATATATTACACGAATATAATTTGGTCTTTTTGTTTTTTTTTTTTTTTTTTTTTTTTTTTTTTTTTTTTTTCTCTTTGCTGATGAAAACTTTGGTCTCCTCGTGATACATTATTTGGTTCCCAATGGTGGCTTTTGAATCAGATGGGCATTTCTTCGTTTTTGCTGATTAATTTGATGGAATTTCTTCTTAATCCCACTTGTTGAGTCTATTTGCTACATTGCTGACTGGCTCCACTAAGCTTAAATCCTATCTAACACACTTAAGATATGTAAAATAATCAACAAATTTGTATAGATTAAATTACCAAGCTTTTGGATCAGATTAATCCAGAAAAAAAGGAATGATTGGCACTAGAATTTGTTGGACTCGTAAAAAAGACATGAAATTGATTGGATGGTGTCACGCCCCCCAAACGGGGTGGGTGACGTGGAGCTCGATTATGGGTTAATAAAGCAGATTCTCAGACGAGCCCCACTCAACTGCATTAAAATATAAATAAATTACAGAATTTCGGAGCCTCTAACACACATGGCTCCACGCCAAAGGACATACAGCATCGTACATACATGCGCATGTAAATAATCATTACAACAGACATCAACCACAGTCTACTTAATCAAAATATTACATAAGTTTGCAGAATTTCTCAAATTCCTTACATTTGTCCAAGAGGATGTCCACGATCCTCACTTGATTCCAACAGCAGCACAACTCAGCTTCTCCGTAGCAATTATCCAACTACTGTGCACCGCTCCTAGAATCTCCTGTGAGGGGTTTAATACATTTAAAACATAAAACGTGAGCGAAAGGCCCAATAGGATGTTATTTACAAAGACGTAAAGTAAATAAATAGATAAAGTGCCGCTCCTAGAATCTCCTGGGAGGGGTTTAATACATTTAAAACATAAAACGTGAGCGAAAGGCCCAGTAGGATGTTATTTACAAAGACGTAAAGTAAATAAATAGATAAAGTGCAAGTAAATAAATAAATGGAGACGTAAATAAATAGACATTCAGTTCCAACAGACAGCCGGAACCTCACATCCCTTTTCTCAAAGGAAATAAATGTAAAATCTCCATATTACAGGCTTCAGCAAGTAATTAGTACAAATTACTTACCTAACCAAGTGCCTCGCCTACCCGGACCGAGTTTCGGGTTTTGCCCCGAGGATGCCCTCTCCGCATCATATCTAGGCTTACAGCAATAGACTCTATTACCAATTCACAAGATCTCTTTGCTTAAGAAATCATTCATTAACTTTTCTGAAATCGTGTTTATGACCCCACGAACTACTCAAGCCGCGGGCCCCATGACTGGGCAAGCCATGAGGTTCCATGACTAAACAAGCCATGGTTTTCAAAGCTTTTTTCTTTCACAAGCCAATCCCTTTCTTTAAAACATTTTCAATGCCAAAATCCTTTTGAAAACAGGCTCATAAGGCAAAGGGATAGAAATCCTACCTCGCACTATCAAACCTGGGACTAGCGTTGCCTTTCCCGACTTCTGCTTCCTCAAGCCCCTTCAGTCTGAATCCTCAGCGATTACTAATGCAAGACAACGCTTTAGGATTAATTCTCATTCCTAAAGCAATCCAAATCTCAATTTCCAACCAAGATTTCCTATTAGTGTGCCCTAATCCATTTTCATGTTTCAAATTATCATTCGAAGGGTTTTCAATCTCAAAATAAGGATTAAAGATGCTAATCCATATGTCCCAAGTCCCCAAATGAAGCTAATTTGGGTTCTCCCCGTAAACAGGGGTCAAAACAGCAATTTCAGGCCAAACAGGGTCAAACCCCGTGTCAACCGGTCGACCGGTGACAGAGCAGTGCATTACCACCGGTCGACCGGTGGTGTGCACTCCAGTCGACCTGACAGGTCGACCGGTTAGGCCAATGCAATCCGGTCGACCGCACCGGTCGATCGGTTACCATGTGATTCGGTCGACCGCACAGGTCGACCGGTGGAATCAGCTGCGCGAGAGAAGCTCACGGAAATCAGTCCAAAAACCTGCAAATCCAGTCCCCAAATCGAGATATTTCAAAGGAAAACCACTAGATCTGGGTTCTAGGTCCTCAAACAAGTCCAAAGAACCCAAGATCTCCAATTTCTACTCGTTTTACTAAAAAACCATCAAAATCCAGTTTGAACCAAAAATAAGTTTTGAAATTCAAAAACTTAAGATTCAAGAGATGTTCTTTTAGTAATCTTACCTCGAATCCTTCTCTTGATGTTGAAAACTTCTTTAAATCTTTCCTTGGTTCAAGATCCGTTTGATTTGGGACAAAAATGAGAGAGAGAGAGAGAGAGAAAGAGAGAGAGAGAGAGAGATGCACGGGAGAGTGGGAGAGAGAGTGAGAGAGAGATGTACGGGAAGGAAAAAGGAAAAAGAGAAAAGAAAAGAAAAGGAAAAAGAAAAGAAAAGGACATGTGTACAATATTTTAAAAGAGCAGTCTAAAAATATGCCCATACACACTTCTGGGTTTAAATAAATTGCTGAGAATAATTTAATTACCTTGGAACTATTTAAACTCACACGTGTCAGAAACATTTATTAATTAAGACTCAATTAATAATCCAGATTAGGCACACTAATAATCTCAATTACCTTAATTAGTCTCAATTAATTCTTCAGGGTGTTACAGCTCCACCCCCCTTAGGCAATTTCGTTCCCAAAATTAAAGCCTACCTCAAAGTGTGAACATATGCGGATACTGCTCCTGCATCGTCGTTTCAAGCTCCCATGTCGCTTCCTCAACTCCATGGTGCTGCCATAATATTTTTACTAGAGGAATCTCACGATGACGCAGACTCTTTATCTTCCGGTCAAGAATCTGAACTGGTGCCTACTCGTACGACGCGTCATACTGTATCAGAACGTCAAACCACTGCATTACTGCTTCCGGCTCAGGTTGACATTTCCGAAGCATGGAGACATGAAACACGTCATGCACGTGAGATAATTCAGGCGGTAAAGCCAACTTATAAGCCACCACTCCGATTCGTTGCACGATCGGGAATGGTCCTACATACCTTGGTGCAAGTTTCCCTTTCACACCAAACCGAACAACTCCCTTGCATGGGGAAACCTTCAGCAAAACAAAGTCGCATTCCTAGAATTCTAAAGGCATACGCCTTCTGTCAACATAACTTTTCTGACGACTTTGAGCTGTCAACAGTCGTTCCCGAATCACATCTATCTTCTCATTATTCTCTTGAATGACTTCCGGTCCAGTGCTCAGTCGATCCTCTGGTTCCAACCAACACACAGGTGACCTACAAGGACGACCATATAGAGCTTCAAACGGTGCCATTCCAATACTGGCCTGATAGCTGTTGTTATAAGCAAACTCGGCTAGGTGCAGGTATTTTTTCCAGTTCCCACCAAATTCCAGAATACAAGCACGAAGCATATCCTCTAGAATTGGAATAACTCTTTCAGATTGCCCATCCGTCTGAGGATGAAATGTAGTGCTAAAATTCAAATCTGTTCCCATGGCTTCCTGGAAACTCATCCAATACCTTGCATTGAAGCGGGTATCACGATCAGACGTGATAGACAATGGCACTCCGTGTAGCCTCATGTTGTGCTCCAGGTACAATTCTGACAGAATCTTCGGAGAATACGTCGCACGAAAGGTATGAAGTGCGCGGACTTCGTCAACTTATCCACCACCACCCAGATGGTGTTGTGCTTCAGCTCGGTTCTCGGTAGCCCCATCAGAAAATCCATAGTGATGTGCTCCCATTTCCATCCAAGGACAGGAAGAGGTTGTAACTCTCCCGCTGGCTTCCGATGCTCAGCTTTAATCCGGAGGCAAGTCACACATTCTGAGACATACTCACGAACGTCCTTTTTCATACCTCTCCACCAATACTGTCTTTTCAGGTCCTGGTACATCTTTGTACTTCCCGGATGAATAGCATACCTCGATTTGTGTGCTTATTGCAGAATCGTCTTCTTTACCTCACCCGCCTTAGGAACATCAAGGCGGATGCGGAAATACAAGGCTCCATCCTCTCGGATTCTCCAATCCTTGAATTGTTCTCCATTCTGGATCCGAATCCAAATTCCTTGGAGGTGTGGATCCTGCCATTGATTCTGCTTAACCTGTTACACAATATCCGGTGTAGAGATCAGGTTATACACCATAACCTGGTTATGATCTTCGCAGAACTAAAGATCATACTCACTCACCACTTCAGTCCTTTTCCAATCCTCCAAAGCTGATAACGCCAGAGTCCCCGCCGTCTTCCTACTAAGGGCATCAGCCACCACATTAGCTTTTCCAGGATGATATTGCAGAGT